CGGAACAGCAGACAATAAAACCTCTCCACCTCCCCCTAACGTGGAATATCTGTCAGCAATATGTAGGAAGCAGAGGTGGGCCACAATGAACTGGAACAGACAATCCAGTCAAAGAAAGTACCAAAATTTACAGAGAGCGAATCAAACCATGGAAATTTTGAAGATTTATGAGTTGATTAAGAAAAAAAAAAAACCTTTAATCGTGGGAAGAAGCAAACTCTGCAGAAAACCTTGCAATAGTCGAGCCCACGATCCACATACAGAGCACCAAGGAACGCTGAACAAAGAAATTCATCATTAATCAACAGTACTTGAGCATACTCTTCAACTGCGCACCTTTAAATCGCTACAGGCTACAGCAATTTAATTTCCCGTCGAAATCGAAGTCTTTAAAAGTGAATTGAAAAGTTTAACCATAATATCTATGAACTTTTTGCTCCACACATTCCATATGCCCTAATTTCTAAATGACTCAGACAACCGCCGCAGATAAATCCTGAACATACACACACACACAGACACACACACATACACACACACACACAAACACACACACACACTGAGGTTGTCACAATATGCGTTTAAGCACTTGCATAGATGTAAAAACGCTTTAAAAGTCAAATAAAAATTTGTTTAAGCACCGCATTATTATAATGCCAGTTTTAATTTGCTCACACAATCGTAAGTTTGATGTCAGCAGTCCATCATGATCCACACGCTAGGCAAGAAACGGATTCGGAGATAAATGAAGGTGGTGAAAGTGTTGGCCCCCACCGAAGCCCACAAGTATATGGGCCTGGAGTAGCGATTACTGGCCACGGGGTTCGCTAAAAGCAAGAAAAACCTGTAGGCATGCCTGGATAGAAAAATGGGAAAGGGATCGGGACGTCAGAAGGAGATGGGAAGAGAGAAGAACAAGAAGACTGATAGCAGACGATTTGAAAAATCAAATAAACCAAGATTTGATGTATCTCAAGAGTAACCAAGGAAAAACGCAAGGATCACTAGAAGATGATCACCAGGTGATATCACCTGATTTGATCAAATATAACTTCGATCACAGATCAAGAAAGGGCTGTGAAGGAAAGGTGCACAGGCAAGAAAATTAGCTGATTAATGTGAATTATGAAAAAGTAAGCATCAGCGAAGTACCTTCGACGAGATCCGCTTTATCTTTTACTCGCATCTGTGGCAATCCACTTCTCTGCATGACTTTTGGTGTTACTAAATACTTCGTCATATCGATATCATCACAAATCACTGACTGCGTCTGAAACAGAACCACTTTTCTTAGTTTATCGTTCAAGGCGGCCCTTCCTAACCATTCCCATGGTACCACTGCATTCTCAGTCCAAAACCTCTGAAAACTCCCGTGCTGTCAACTACTGGCGCATTTTCTCCTACACGTGATCTGGTTGTTATGAAGTATGGGATAACCGCTCAGGATTGTTGAAATTATAGGCCAATCCTGTTTCTTATTCGTTGACAGGCGGATGTTGGATGGGGGAAGGTGGGGAGGGAGCGATGGGTGTTTCCCTCCCCACCCCTCACCCCCTCTCCCAGCGGCACTGGTACGAGTTGTTTCACTGTAAAAAACCCTCCTCCATACTCCCTGTTATTCCCCTTCCCCCTCAATTTTTTTATGCGTTTTGTGCTGTGTAACAGCAGTACAAAAAGCATATTGTTACGGGGTTGTCTGTGTGTGTGTGTGTGTGTCCGCAGCAACTTGTCCC